CCACGGGTGCTGGCGCCCGCGTCGACAGCGCAATTATCTCCCACGCCGAAGGCTCCAACGCACCGAAGGCCGCGCGCTGATCGCCATGCGCGACCTACGTCAAATTTGCAGATTTTTCCAGCGGGGGCAGTGACATGTGCAAAATTTGAAGACTGCGCCCTGTTTGTTTCCCGAGCTCGGGGTACTTTGCAAAATTCTGAACCATTTTTTTGTGCATGTTCGCTGCTTTGTAAATAAAACATTACGAAGCCAGTTCGCTACCTCGTTTGCAAACAACCGCTGTAGAATGGCACGGGGAACTTTTGGGGAACCTTTGGGGAACTATTTCGGAACTTTTGCGGAACTATTTTTGACCATCGCAAGGGGCTGCGGAACTTTCGGGGAACTTTTGCGGAACTATTTCGGAACTGTGTCGGAACCATTTCGGAACCAACGGGGAACTATGCTGGGGCCCCTGAAGTGGGCTGCGGGACTTTGGGGGAACTTTCGGGGAACTTCTCTGGTACGCTGCAACGGGCTGCGGAAGCGTCGGGGACACAGAATCGGAACTCTGAAATGGGCTGCGGAACTTCTGCGGAAGTTTCGGCTAACCTTTTCTGAGGGCCGACATGTTTTGCGGAACAATTGCGGAACTATTTCGGAACCCTGAGAGGGGCTCGGGAACTTTTGCGGAACTACCTCGGGGCAACGTCCGTACATCTCCAATGTTTGCCGACGACGTCGCCAAATTCGTCGGAACTTTTTCGGAACTATTTCGGAACTTGCGGGGAACTTTTCATTCGAAAAAAGTTTGAAAAAAGTTAAGCCCGCTTTTGAGCGGCTAGTCCCGCGAAGCGGCAGACGTTTGGGCGCTGGGGCGCGGAAGTCGCCGCGCGTCAACGATGGGTCCCTTCGCCGCGCGGTGAATGAGTTGGGGTGCGAACGCGTCGTGTCGCATATCTGGCCCCGCGCGCCATCGGCGTTCAGACTGAGCGCCCCCCGTCGATGCCTCTTGGGGCGCCCGCCCAGGCGCCCCAACGGTGCGGGGTGGTGGTGAGGGAGAGGGCGGTGCGCTAAGCGCCAAGGCGGGCCGCCCGAGCGCCATGGCGCGCAGCCCAGGCGGTGCGCTTGGGGGCCCACCTGGCCCGCTTCATACCTCTGGCGGACATCGCCTTGCAGCCTCAGCACCGCAAGCAACAGGCGCGCGCGGCATGCGCCGCGCGCGGCGCAACGCAACCGCAGCGCGCAGCGACCGCCGTCGCCAGAAGTTAAGCCGCAGCGGAGGCTGCGCCCAGGAGACGCCAGCCAGGTCTTCCTGGCGCCCGCTGGGCTCGCGCCCAACGGGGCCCCGATCACGCGCGCGGCTGCGCTCGACCGATGCGCGCGGGCGGCCTTAGCGCTGGGGCGCCCGCCACGGGGCGCTGGGCCCTGCGCGCTGACGCGCTGGTGCGATGCGGCGGCGGAGCGCTTGCAACGGGGGCGCTGGGGCGGCGGGCGCGATGGCGCCCTGCAGCGGGTGCGCGGCGCCGATCCTTGAGTATCCTTCGCTGCCGCCCCCCCTTGCCCCAGTCTGCGCCGTGCCCGATTGGGCGGCGCCCGCGCGGAACGCGCCGCGCGCGGCGCGATCGTTGCGCCTTCCTGGCCCAGGCTGGCATTGCAGCCTGCTGCGAGGCGGAAAACGTTGGGCCCTGCAGGGCGCCATGTGGCCCTGCGCGGCTGGAGCGGCGCATCGTCGACCTCGGCTGCGGGATGGCGGCGCGGCTGTCGGGCGTCGCTGCGGCAGCGGCGCGGCGGGCGCGCGCGTGTGCGTGTAAGTGTGCGCGCGTGCGTGCGTGTGTGCGCGCGTGTGTGTGCGTGTGTGCGTGTGTCTGTGCGTGGGCGCGCGTGCGTGCGCGTGCGCGCGTGCGCGCGCGCGTGTGTGCGTGCAGGTACGCGTGGGTGCGTGCGTGCGCATGTGTGTTTGCGCATGTGCGTGCGCGCTGGGGCGGGGCGGTGGCGGTGGACGTGGTGGCGGCGGCGGCGGTGGTGGTGGTGGTGGTGGTTGTGGCGGTTGTTGGTGGTGGTGGTGTGTGGTGGTGGTGCATGTCCTGGTGGTGGTGGTGGTGGTGGTGGCGTGTGTTTGTGTGTGTGTTTTTGGTGTGTGTGTGTGTGTGGGGAGGGGGGGGGGGGGGTCGGTGCGTGCGCGATGTGTATGTGTGTGTGCGCGTGGGTGCGTGTGTGGTGGTGGTGGTGGTTGGGGGGGGTCTCGGATGGCGAGGTTGCAGCACTTGGCAATTGCAACGGCAAGTGCATGGGGAGGGGGGGGGGGGTGCGATCTCGGTCGGCCGCAGCGCGCGTGACAGACGACCTCGGTTGCTCGGCTGCTCTACACACAGCCTTTGCGTCGGCCGCAGGGCGCGCGCGCGACTCCATGCGATTCCGCCGAGGTGTCGTTGCGTGCCCGTGTGTGTGTGTGTGTGCGTGCGTGTGGTGAGGCCACGGCTGGCGACGTGTATATGGTTCCCTCGAAGGCTCGGGCGTTATCCCGATGGGTCTACTCTGGGCACGGGAGAGCCGCTGATCATTCAAAGTGTGGTGCGTGTGTGCGTGTGTGTGTGTGCGTGTGTGTATGCGTGCGTGTGTGTGTGTGTGTGCGTGTGCGCGCGTGCGTGCGTGTGTGTGGTGGTGGGTGGGTGGGGGGGGGGGGTGCGGTGGTGGTGGTGTGTGAGTGTGTGTGTGGGGTGGGGTGGGGGGGTGGGGTGGGGTGGGGGTGGGGTGGGGGTGGGGGAGGGGTGGCGGTGGTGGCGGCGATGTGTGTGCGTGTGTGGGGGGGGGGGGGGGCGGGAGTTTCTTCGCCCTTGTCGTCCACCCTGCATCTTTTTTGGACCCCCCCGCCAGGGTTCTCTCTCAAGCGCGTCATGTGAGGAACCCAGCGGGTTCATGTCAACCTCCATTCAACTCGTTGAAGTTGCCGTTGCCCGCTCTCCCCACGCCACACTTACACTATCTCGCCAGGGTTTCCTCTCAAGCGTTTCAAGTCAGGAAACCTACGGGTTAAAGCCAACCTCACTTAAACTCGTTAAAGTTCCCGCTGCCCTTTTCACCCACCCTCCATCTTACTTACACTCTCTCGCCAGGGTTCTCTCTCAAGCGCCCTAAGTCAGGAATCCAACGGGTTCAACTCAACCTCGTTGAGTGAGGTGTGGTACGGAACAGCGACGGCACTGATGCCCGTCGTAATTTCTCGGGGGCGGGCAAAGCCATGCAGCCTGGGAGGTGCCCGACGTCGTCGGAAACCTCGACGAAAATGCATGTACATTCGTTTCAGTTGTTGCTACCCTGTCTGTTCACCCTACATGTTACGTGCGCTCTCTCGCCAGGGTTCCCTGTCAAGCGCCTCAAGTGGGAAACCCATCGGATGCTAGTCAACTGCACCTAAAACTCGCTCAATGTTTCGGTGCCCTTTTCGCTCGCCCTGTGCCTTACGTACACGCCCTCGCCAGGGTTCTCTCTCAAGCGCTTCAAGTGAGGAACCCAACGGGTTCAAGCCAACTTCACTTTAAATGTTCGTTACCAGTTGTTCACCCACCCTACACCTTACTTAGACTCTCTCGCCAAGGTTCCTTCTGAAACGCCCCAGGTGGGGAATTCAACGGGTTCAAGCCAACCCCGCTGACACTCGCAGAAGTTTGTCGTGATCCTTGCCAGTCACCCTACATTTTCCTTGCACTATCCCGCCAGGGTTCTCTTTCAAATGCTTCAGGTGGGCAACCTAATGGGCCCAAGTCAACCTCACTCGAACTCGTTGTTTCACACTGTATGGCCCCATGTTGGCGTCCAGGCTACGAGTGGGACAATTGGTTTCCCTCACACGGTTTTCGGGGTGACGCGTGTCCCCCGCGCGTTGTTTCACACTGTCTGGCCCCATGTTGGCGTCCAGAATACGAGTGGATCAATTGGTTTTCCTCGCACGGTTTTCGGGGTGACACGTGTCACCCGTGCGTTGATGCACACATACTGTTTGGCCCCATGTTGGCGTCCAGAATACGAGTGGAGCAATTGGTTGTCCTCACGCGGTGTTCGGGGTGACACGTGTCACCCGTGTGTTGTTTCACACTGTATGGCCCCATGTTGGCGTCCAAAATACGAGTGGGACAATTGGTTTTCGTCACACGGTTTTCGGGCTGACACGTGTCACCCGTGTGTTGGTTCACATTGTATGGCCCCATGTTGGCGTCCAGAGTTCGAGTGGATCAATTGGTTTTCATCACACGGTTTTCGGTGTGACACGTGTCACTTTCTGGGGGGGGGGGAAGATGAGCGGGGAGAGGGAGGAGAGAGGAGAGAGAGAGAGAGAGAGAGAGAGAGAGAGAGAGAGAGAGAGAGAGAGAGCAGCAAGGGGAGGGGAGGGCCTCACAAGGGCCATGAGGCACTTAACCAACATTAGTGTTCATATCAGCCCATGCGGCTCCATACTGTGTCACGTTGCCCCTCAGAACCCATAGGACCATACGATCCATAAGGCCTACACGACCATAGGACCAATACGCACCCATACGGGCCCAGACGACCGATATGGCCCAATAGAAGCCATAGGGCCCACAATACCCGTAAGGACCTACAGGACTCATCGGACCCATAAGACCCTCAATACACATATGACCATATGACCCCGTAGGCCCAGGAAGGAGGGAAGCCGAGAAGAGAGGAGAGAGGCCGAGAGACGGATGGAGGAGACAGAGAGGCAGAGGAAAGAGAAGGAGAAGCTTTCCCTTCTCTCTCCATCTTTCCCTCCTCGCCATCTCTCCCCCATCTCCTTCTCCCCTCCCCTCTTCTCTCCTCCCTCCATCCTCTCTCCCCCCTTTCCCCCTCTTACTTATCCCTCGCTTCCCTCTCGCCTCTCCCCCGCTCCGTTTCCTTTCTTCTCTCCTCCTCCTCCTTTTCCCTTGCGGTGCCTATGGGCCACATGTTTTTTTGTTGCGGAATTGCCCCATTGGGCGAGATATGAAGAGCATTGGGTAGACACGCGCTCCCATACAGACCTACCTCTGCGTGGCAGGCTGCGTGTCAGAGACATCGAAGTCCGATATTGCAGTGTCAGCTTGCGTTTCGGCACCGTAGTCAGACGCCAGCATCTGGAAGGCATTGCGCATCTGCCTCTGCGAGCTGGGGGCGGCGGCAGCGCGAGCACTCTGTCGCAGCTCGGGCACGCTGTCGCGGTCGGCCTGCGTTGCAGAGGTTCTCCCCGCAATAGGCAGCCACCACTTGGCCGCCGACGGAGCCGCGTCGCAGAACGAAGATCGGCGCAGGCGCTTGTGACCTGGCTCGCCCTCGTCAGAAGCTGGCAGCGCAGGCGATGCGACTGCAACTGGCATTACAGGCGCTACGTTGTGGTTCTCTGTCGGCAGGAACGGCGTAGTCGCCGACACAGGGCGCCCCCGTGTGTCCGCTGTGTGGCCTCTAGTGGCGTTCTCGGGGTGCATGGGGCTCTTCTTGTCGAGCTTTGACTCCTCGCCTGGACGTTCGGTCTTGGACACGGCGCCCAGAGAAACGACCTGAGCGGGGCGAGCAGCGCCACACCCAGCCGCCGCAACCTCAGCCTCGGGAGTGACCAGGCTGTCTGGGGGTAGAACTGGCATCTCTCCCATGATCTCCACCTCGCTGGACGCCTCACCGTCTCGCACGGCACTCTTTGGAGCATCATCGGTACCCGCAGCACCAGGAAGCGGATCTCCACCTCGACCATCTTGCTGAACACGTGGCCCATCTGGAGACTCTGGTGGAGGAGCAGCTGGTGGCTGAGCATTTGGACCACGCAGCGGTGGAGCATTCGGAGCACCTTGTTGCGGATCTCCATCTCTGCGGGCAGCTTGGCGGGAGCGGATCTCAATCTCTATGGGCAGCTGACACCGAATAGTGCCCTCGTATTCTGGCGGCAGCCCGTCGACTTTGAGGGTGAGGACTGGGGGCTTGCCGCGCAACTTGTGGAGAGCAACGTCGACGGGAGCACTTGGGACAGCCATCGTTGCCAAGACGAGAAGTATGGATTGTAGCATCGAATCGTAAATCGTGAAACGAAAACTCCGATGGCTTGAGCCAAAACGGCTACTGACATAAATAGATGTGGACCCCAAACACAAGACCCCAAACACATGTATATAGCGCCCCAGAGTGCAAGCTCGGGGACGGAAGCCATACGGCACCGACAATAGGGCGCCATGAAGGGCACCTGCGCTGAAACGCCGTGGATGATCGCTTGGACACGGGCGGACCATAGGGCAGTAACCCCAGAGCACGACCTTAGGCACAGGGCACTAACCACAAACACACAGACACAGGGACCGAACCATAGACACAGGCCATAGGCGCGTAGACACAGGGCACTAACCATATAGACGTAGACACAGGGTGCCAACCATAGAGGACACTAGCAATGGAAGGCACTACCCATGGGGACAGCACGCTAACCACATACACATATTCACAAACCATAGGACGAGAATCGACACAAGGCGCTAACCATATATCATGACCACACGGGACCGTAGAATTGCAACCGTGGCACCGCATATGGCACCATAGGGCACAACCCATAGAACAACATGGGCATTACCCAGAAACCATAACCCATAGAACACCATAGGGGACCACCAATAGAACACACTTGAACACCAATGCGCACCAACCATTAACGGCAACCATGGGCACGAGCCACAGAGGTACACGCATTACTTTTAGGGTCAGTTTTTTTTTTCAAAGCGCAGATACGAGCATTGAAGTGCAAGCACTGTAAGGGGAGTGAAACCCAGGGGGGCTCTAGGGGCCAATTGGGTTGCAAGGGCCTTGATGGCTCTAAATCTTGAGGGCCTTGAGGGCCCTAAGTCGTTAAGACAATGCATGCGCTACTGCTACTGAGGGCTCTGATTATTTAGGGACCTTGATGGCTCTACGTCGCAAGGGCTTTGAGGGCTCCAAGTCTTTACGGGCAACGAGGGCTCTGAGTTTTCAGGGCCTTGGGGGCTATACGTCTTAAAGGGCCGTCAGGGCCTCAGGGGAGACGCGATCAAGGGCCTTGGGGGTTCTAAGCCTTTAAAAATACCAGTGGGCGCGCGAAGACGCAACTCGCCCCCCCCCTCGTCCAGCCCCCAATTACTCGGGCTACGGGGTGGCCAAGCATCTGTCCTCTGAGACCCTAAACAGCAGAGGAGGGACACGGGAGGCAAGAGGAGGGAGGAGGGAGGAGGGAGGAAGAGAGATAAGGGATGAGGGGGGAGGGAGGGTAGATGAGAGGGACGGGGGAGGAGGGAAGAGGGAGGAGGGAGGAGAGGGGATTCTGGTGATAGGAGGACGGGAGGGGGACGAGCAGAAGGAAGCAGGAGGGAGGAGGAAGGAACAGGAGGAGGCAGGCTGGGTATGAATGAGACAGGAAGGCGGAGGGCGGAGGGAGGAGGGAGGAGGGAGGAATGACCGATGCCGTTCAGCGTACAGAGGGGCCCTGAGCTATCCTGGCCGTGTTCTTTTTTCATCATGCTCAAGGCTCAGTTGGCATTTTTCTCTCGTGCTCAAACAAGCGATGCAAGGTTCACCAGGCGGCTCGTCTGGCTCACCTGGCCTTTTTGTTTCTCTCGCACTGGAAGATTGTTTTAGCATCAGGGCGATTTGTGTGTCGATATCTCGCTCGTTCCCTGCTGTCTTTATCTCTAGGGTAGTTCCTCTTATGATTAGCCGACTCCATTGATGGATCATGGAAATCAAGATAAGACAACAATAAACCCAAAGGCCTGCCTTGCGCAGCTTTAGAACCCGATTCATTCGAAGTCCTGGAAATTAGGCACTTCTTACTCTTCTTGCAACGGTTGCAGACAGCATTGAACTCGCAACGCGGAAAGGGGTAGTATGTGATTGTACCGCCAGGAACTCTGTAGAACACTGGAGCATGAATAGGCAATACAGGCGAAGGGGGCGCAGCTGGTGGAGGCGGCTCGTCGCCATCGTCGCCATCGGACGGCCCATCTCCCAACGAGCTGACATATGTACCTGGATCCTCCATCGGAACACCTCCAGCATCGCCCAACAACGCACCGCCAAAAACGTCGGCGGCGGCGTGCTCATCTTGTTCGCCGTCGTTCATCTCCTCGTCGCTTTTATCATTCATATACTCCTCAGCCTTGAATGAGAATGTGCATTTCGACACATTGTTTTTGTCCCACGGGTCCCACAAAAGTACCGCCTCAGAACCAGGCACTCGCTGAACCTCAATGATATTTGGAGTAACATGTGCAACTGGTCTGTGTGACTCTACCATTTTGAACATTATAAGGTCCCATCGTTTCTCTGCGCTCATATGTTGAAAGGATTTCCAATGGGTCGAAGCTTTGAGTTCGCTAATCAACACATGGTTGTCATTACAAAAATCTTCTAAACGTGCAAATGGGTCCCCGTTGTCTTCAAGCAAGCGCACGTGATGCCACAGCATGTAAGCGGGCTTGTGAGACGTGTGGCCCACATGCCTCCAGATGGTTTCTAAAGGCGGCGTATCCGGACCAACCTGGTCGAGAATGTGCGCCTTGGTGGAGCCGAGGAACAAAGCTACAAACGAACCCTGCGTGAGGTCAGCCATCCCCTTTGGGTCACCTTTGACGACAGCCTTCAGGGCCAACCTAGCCTTGTCTGCAAGACGCGGTACGTGACTATTCCCTGAACCTCTGCAAACACACATGCCAGCGAAACGACAAGCACTCATGCGAACGGGGCGTGCGTCTGGGACACGCACGGTATCTAACTGCCGATGCAAAAGATCCCATTGATTGCGCAATCTGGCAAGTGCCTTTTTGGAGATACCAAGTTGGCGATCAACTGAGATAAACTTACCTGCAGTGACAAGGGCTTCTGTGGGCTCCACAAGTATATGATGCAACTCGCGACCGTCAGTGCACCGATGGGCGGGCAGGGGGTGAAAACCCCGAGACCAGGAACCAAGAGCAGGCACTGCTTGCACGAGTTTCTCCAGAGACCGCTGCCCACTAGAATCGCAATATTGCTCAGCATTGCGTAAAATCTCGTCCTGAGGGGGCGAACACACACTGTGAGAGTAGGTTCAGCTAGCCGAGCAGCTGACAGCGGCTCCCACATACTTAACACGGACTCAATGATCACATATATTGCAAAAGCCCTTCCCTTGTCCCCTTCACCCTCCCCAGTCTATCCTCAGTCGCGCCTACTGTGCGGATTGCAGGGAGGGGGAAGGGCGAACCCGTGGGGCTAACAATTTTCCCCACACCCCCCCCCCCCACCCACCCCCCCGACCTTCACCTCAATGCCAACCGTCTCTCGGCGAGGCGCAATGCTTGCACTCATGCGCGCGAGCGCACCCTCACTAGGTATTCTAGCACTGTGCCCCCCCAGGAGGCGCGCTCAGCGGCGAGGCAGGCCCGCTACGCTCACGCGAAAGCCCCCTCACTGGGCAGTGCCCAGGGGGCGCGATCGGCGAGGCTGGATTGCGGCACCCCCCCCCCTCCCCCACTCCGCAGCAGCTGCGCTCACGCGAACGCTCCCTCACTGGCCAGTGACCTTCCCAGGAGGCGCGATCAGCGAGGCACAGCTGCGGCGACGATCACTACGACCCAACCGTGGTTCTGCATTTCCAAGGGCTAACACCAATGACACGACGGAACCCACACTTACGAACGCAACGTTGCAACATTACGCGTAGTAGTGTGCGCGTGCCCCCAAGTGGTATGTGATTCGATACAGTACGCAATGGTGCGTTGCACATCGCTCCGTGCACCCTGCTACCCAGCTCTGCGAATGAATCGCAGCATACATGCATATTGTTTGTTGGCTGCGAGTTTCGTCGTTCAGGCGGCCCCGCTACTCATAGCCCAAACTCCCAATCAATTGCTCCCTGATGGGGCCACATGAACCCCAACTATAATATACACTGTAATTTTGGTATCGGCTTTGGCGGCATGGGTCGGCGATGTGGGCGACAGCGTTGCCAATGTGCGTGCGCTAATGCATTTATTGGTGAGTGCTGGGGCGGCGTGGCGGGCGACAGCCTTAACACTACACATATGTGCATATGCACGGGTGTGGGTTGGCGCTCGTGCTGGGGGCGGTGGCCCATGCGGAAGACCCACGCATGATGCCTAAACTATGGAACGCGTGTGCAGGGAGACCCTAGCCAGCAGGAGGCCCGAATTACAGCAAGGCATGACACCCATACTGAACATTTTCGCTGTTCAGGGAGCCGAAAAACAAGTGCATAAACCACTATAGAACGTGAGCGCGAACTTCGGACGACGGGGCGGGGTTTCTGGAGGTTACGATCCTTCTGGTGCTCCACGCGCTTCTGCACGGCAGCATCGGCCTTCAACTCGCATTTCAATGCCAGCACGTGGTGCCAAGACCGTGGTCCATGGAACGGCCCTGCACGGATCTCAGCGCTGGTGGAATCGCCGACGGGATCTGCGCTGCATTCGATTGCATAGGCGACGCTGTTCTGGCGGGCCATCGATGCGTGAGCCCGCTCTCGGTCCCTAGCCGTGCTGCCAAAAGAACGCGCCTCGCCTGCAATGGCAGTGTCCCAAATTCCAAAAACTCATCATCCACCTCCTCCCCCCCCCTCGGACTGAGGTGGAGGAATGTAGCGGTGAGGAGGACGAGGAGGAGGCGGAGGAAGCAGAAGGTTGGTGGGGATCAGGGATGGCCCGAGGGAGGAATGCAGACAAGGAGGGAAGAAGCGAGGAAGCGAGATGAATGGTGAGGGTTAGGAGTAGGAGGAGGAGGATGAGGATAAAGGGTGTCGGGTGGAAGGGGAGCACCAGCAGCAGCAGGCGGAAAAGCAGCATCAGGCGG